ATAGAAAACCCAGGATGTAAACACCTGTTTGTGTGCGGTTGTGAGCATGCATGTATAAACAAGATCTCTCCAATGGAATGTTTTTAAATTAAATGTTGCTGAAACAGCAAGTTTCTCAGTGGACCTGCGCTCAAAACTGCAGCCTAGGTGGAGTAGTCCAACACAGATCCACTGATCCTTTAACACAGAGCATCTTCAGAAGACAAGTTGATAAAGTAATTTTTTTAATCTGTATCGTTCGATACAGCACTGTTAATATGGTTCGATATGGTTTGATACGGGTACATGTATTGTTGCACCCCTAATATTTATATATGTATACTGTATACAAACCACAGAACATCCATGTCAAACTGTCTGGTCTATCCCTTTAATTGTAGTGACAGCAGCACCGACTTCTACAAGTTTCATTGTTACTACCTCAAGTGAATCAGATACTTTTGCAAAGTGATCAGCTTATCAGTGTCTTTTCTACTTCCTGTTTGTGAGCGCCGTGGGATTAGTGACACATCTATTCACTGCACTATTGTGCTGCTCTGTGGTCTGTGGTAACAAAAAGTTCATGTTATTCTACAGCAGTAGTTCTCAAACTGTTGCGCTTAGGTGGTGGAGCAATGGTGTTTTTCTCTCTGTTGTTTTTTTTTCTCCAGAAACTTCTTTGTTTTTGAGAACCACTGTTCTAAAGTAACCGTTTTTAAGGCTTTGACTATGAAAGTGAAGCTATTAAAAGTGAATTGTCTAAAGACGTATTCAGCACAGATTAGCTCGTGAATGAAGAAACATTTGTGAGGTAATCAACCTGTGTCTTAGCGCGGTAAAACTGCAGTAATGTTTAAGAATTAGTAAAGAGTCGTGAAAAGACTAATCAAAATCAAAGCAACAATAAAATAATAATAATCCAAAAAGAAAAGCTTGAAATTGGTTGTAGCAGTTTGTGTCCAGGGATGAAACCTAAAGTAAAAAAATTGCATTTCATAACAAGCAGCAGAAATAAAACTTAGCACTATTGTAAATATGATCGTGAGGTAAAGCACCACAGTTATGTGTGGCTATAATTGTGGTTTGCTCAAATTATTGCTGCGGACATGTCGTGTCTTAATATACAGTAGCTGCCATGTGTGGGCAGACAAATCACTCATAATCTGAAGCCCCTCGGAGGAACAAAGGTGAAAATAAAATATCAGCGTCAGCTGTAAATAGTCCTTATATGTGCTTATAAAATGTCAAATCGGTCAACGAATTGTGGTTGAGATGCAGCGAATGTCGCTAACTCTGTAAAGTTTGAATAAAAAACGGCTCAGAAGACGTAGAGATTCCGGGTTATTTTCCCGGCAGCTCATCATGACCGGCTCTGTCTGAGTCTGTCGATGTGGTAACAGAGTTTGAGCGCAGGTCCCAGCTTCAGTCCCAGGTACTTCATCATCATCTCACTTTTCAGCAACAGCAGGGCGTCTCCGTCTATTTCCTGGAACATAGCGCACAGTCAGTGTAAGTTTAAAGTATCAAAAATTGAACAAACAAATCAGTCATGGCATTGCTTGACGGAATCCAATTCACCCGCTGCCTTTCACACCAGAGTATTACAATAAAGTTATGATTACAGTTTTACAATTACAGTTTTGGTCAAACGTTGAAAACAATATTATGCACAGTCTCACTATTATGAGATGTCAGGCTCAGATTACGTAATGTGGATGACTCTCAGCTACTCACACATTAAAATCCAGGTCAATATCTGTTAAACTGACTGAGGTATAGTTACTTTAGTGATTTTTCAGATTGATTAGCTGTAGTGGTCTTATTGAATTGGATCAACTCCAAAGGTAAACCACTTGTAGATGTGTATCTGATGATAACATTTGGAAAGTGTCATTAAAATCTGTGCAGTGGTTTATGAGGTATTTTGCTAACAGACAAACAGGGTTGACGCCAGCATTTAATGCTATAGTCCAAGCAAATATTTTTGAGCAACAAGTAGCTTTTAACGTAGGAGTTATGACTGACTCTCAGTTACAATCACACCAAATATTAGCTCAGTATCTGTAAAACAGACTGAGTTTCAACCATTTTTGTGTTTTCTCAGGTGAGTTGGCTGTGGCCGCCATCTTGAATTCAGTTAGCTCCAAAAGTTAACCAGAGGTAAAAACACAGCAAACGATTATTTTCTGAACGTTTAATTAGAATCTATGAAGTGTTTCATGAAATATTTTTCTAACAGACGGACACACAAATATACACACATGCACACAGGCTAATACATTATCGTCAGTCTTCACCTTTCAGTGGTGGGCAATAAAAAATAACAGTCCTGTTTGACATGCATATTTTTGATGTTTTCGCTGGATTGTTTAAAATATGTCTGTTTCAGGATGTTCAGTAAGAGCTTGAACTCACATGTTTTCTGAATGCCTCTGCGTGGGGCCCCAGGGCCTGCGGGTCAGCCTCTTTGATGAACCAAACCACATCCTCTACACCCCAGCAGGAGGGGTCTTTACCAGCAGGTCGTTTGCCCTCTCTGGTGTCTGACATCAGACCGCAGGCTACATGGACATACACATCGTTTTTTTTTTTTTTTTACTTTGAACCTGTTCCTTTTCTGTAATTAGCAAGGCTGGTTTGTAGGGAACAATGAGGAAAGTCACTCACCGTTTCTGTTGCCATCCTGGAAAGTCGCCGGGCTCGACATTTGTCTCAGCACGCCTGCGGGAGTAGAGCAGCTGCTGCTGCGGTAACCGTACGAGCGCTTGCTTTGGTACTGTGACGCCGTGACGTTGAAGGCGGAGTCACTGGGATCTATGGCGTAGCGCTTGGAGTCCACAGGAGGCTCGCAGGTGAAGTCATCAGGCAAGAGTGTGTCTGCTGTGAGAAATGTTGATTTTTAGATGTTTTAGTTTAAAAATAAATAAAAGTACTAAAGTATTATTTTAGGTCGGGTAACGCAAAGTGCCTGTGACACGTGTATCCTTTAAATACAAAAGGCCAAAGAAAACATCTTTAAGAAACTTTGCAAAATACATTTCATTTTGTCACATAACTGGCATATTTTCTTTTGAAATGAAACAGGAAGTGACATCAAAGAGGAACTACTTTTTTTGTTTATTGAAACAATATTATTTGACTCTGTTTCTGATAGTTACTCAAAATAATCTAAAGAAACATCAGATTCTTCTCCAGTCTGTGCTGTTAATAGCTCTGTTCACGTCCAGACGTTCTCCTTTGACATCACTTCCTGTTACTGCGAATGCAAATATCTCAACAACTGTTCATCTCAGCAACACAATTTTTTGTTTGCAATTAGTTATCAATGTTATTTTTCCAAAAATGCATTCATATTTACTACCTAAATTTGACATCACGGGCACTTTAAAGCTCCTTCAGCATTGCGTGTATAAAACAGATGAGAGGAATGAATCTGCTGTTTGTGCCACCCAGTTTTCAGCTTGTCAATAATTCAGACACCTCCTGGTTAGGCTGGAGCCAGGCTGTCTGTTGGCAGATTTATAAAATGAGGAGTCTTTCGGACTGATTTTTCAGGCAAATATATTTCATTGCATCCAGAAAGACAAACAATACTGCTATATATTTATTATAGCACTATTTAAATGTAATTTATATAAAAAAAAAGAGAGAAAGCACGTTGCTTTGGCTGCAGCCCAGGAATTATTGCCAAAAAAACCAGGAACTACGTTGAAATGCTTCTCGTCTCCCCCAGAGGACTGATTTGCATATCTGTCTGGGTGGCACCACGGGGAGCACACACTGGTTTGTGTGTGCTTCGTTTCTTGTGCGCCTGCAACTCGACATCAAACATTTTGCACGATTTTGGAAGAACAAAGAACCGACGGCTGGTCCTTGGCACAGTGTTAAGTACACTCAGGGCAATCTTAAAGCATTAGATTGTTTTTGAACAAGACAAGCCCTGAGGGTAAAATAAAGGGGAAAAAAAAGGACGACACGGCGTCTGTGTGATATCAATTCTTCAGTTTTGTGAAAAAATCTGAAATATCTTTTTTTTTCTTCTGGAGTCAAATATAACCTGTATTATAGATTATTAAAACTGACATCAAAACAGCACAGTTAACCAATAGACATGTTTTTTCTTATAAATATAACATGCGCATATTCCCTGTGCAGTGAGGATTTTACAAGCAGATGCTCGTGTATTTAGAGATCAAAGCAGACAGATGCATGTGTTTTAACCCGACAGAGAAAGGAAACAGGATTTTTTTTTAAAAAAAAGATAATCATGAGAGAAAAGGAAGAGCACAATTTACATGACAAATCTCTCCACAATGAAAGTCCTAAACCTAAACCCTTCTGTTGTTTTTAAACTCCCCAATCAGACCTGTTAGATTTTCGAGCAACCTGCCGGATTAAAACCCTATTTATGATGGTTAAATCAACTCTAAGTGTCCTGTTACCTGTCGGAACCTGTGCCGTGGCTGAGTGTGGGACAATGGCAGCATCCTGTGGGATGGAGCCCATCTCAGGTTCTGGTGTGCTGCTGGGAGCAGAGGGAGTAAGTGGGGACCTCACCATCCTGGGCTTCAGCTGCACACAAAAAAAACATTCAGAACAAAAACACACATCTAAATGTGAAATGTCAGAGTTTTTGCTACATTAGTTTAAGCTAAAATAAGTAATAAATTTTAAAAAGTTCACAAATATGAGAAACAGCAACATCATGGATAGAAAATAGTATTTTCAGTGCATAAAATCTTGGTGTAGTAAAACTAAAGTATCATCAACACTATTGACAGGGGCATAGCTACGGGGGGCCTGACTGGGTCTAAGCCCACCCACTTTATTGCGAAATCAATTGTATCAAACTGAACTACAGATGAAAATGAACTTTTTTTGGTTAAATCTGGCATATTTACACGATTTATTCATGTTGATTAATATGCATTGTCCCTTTGTGAAATCCAAATACACAATAAAGACAATGTCAAAAAGGAAAAAAAACTGTGTCACATCCTGTCACAACTGTCAGTGGTGCAAAGTAACAAAATACATTTACTTCGTTATTTACATTTTTTTGAGGATCTGTAAGTACATTTTTTATTTGAAACATATTTCATTACATTTAAAACATAAAAAATGATATTTTTACTTCTTTACTTTAAAATAAAACATCTTGTTCCACACATCAAACCAGAAGTCATCGTGAAAGGGGTTGTCTCTCCAAAAAAAAATGAAGCGTTGAATTTCCTTAACCAAGTTATATCAACTGGTTCCACTAAGCCAAGTTGAGTAAATGTAAAACAATTTTACTAAAGCAGTTCTCAAGAATCCTACAAACACCAAATAAACCATCATTATACAAATTTCCAGCCAAATAAAAACAGGAAACCATAATCTAAAAATATTACTATTAGCACTATTTGTGTATGACTTAAAGGCTGAAATTTTTAAATCCACCGGGTCACATCAAACACACATTTTATATAATAAATTGTTTCCTAAAAACATGATTTTTTGTGTTTTCTCCTCAAAAATAACTCAGCTGACAACTAAAAGCCTAAACATCTTGTCCCTTTAAAATAATTAGTTTAAAAATATTTAGCAATTATAATAAAAAATATATATTACTTATTCAGAATCAGCAGACAGACTGCTGCTGTGCTTCTTTCACCTCCTGTTAAAAAAAAAAAAGAACAACTCAAATGAGTGAAAATAAACTCCGACGAACCTTAAAGCCGGGTTTCCTTCCTCTTTTTTTGGGGACCTTGAGGGCTGAGAAAGTATCGATGAAGTCGCTCTGGAACTCCAGCTTACGAATGGGGGGCCGCCCTCTCCTCCGGCCGGGTATCTTAGCCTGCTGGGGCCCCAGGATGAACTGAGGGTCCAGACTGGACGCCTGCATCTCCAAACTAGTGGGCAAGGTAGTCATCAGACCTGGGAGAGAGCGAGCGGCTTTAACAAAAACTGAAAGTGCCGGCTTGTTAAAAAGCACCTGACACCAAAGTAGAAAAAAAAAAGTTCGATGTGAAAGCACCCCCTTATTTGGTTCAGACACACACACATATACGCTTTCTCGCACACACGCAGAAGATGATAGGAAGTAGTAGAAACAAAGCCACATGAAGCTTTGTACTTAACCACACCCCTCCCCCCCTCTCCAGCTGCAAAGATTGCAATAAATATCATTACTGCACTGCACGAGAGACAAAGCCACACCCACCCACACACACACACACAGAGAGAGAGAGAGAGGAAATAAATGCAAAGCAAGTGCACCCAAACACCCACTATCAAACAATCAATGAAGTGTACTGTAACACACACACACACACACCACACACACACACACACACACACACACACAACTGTAGGTGCAAGTGTTTGCCTCCTTTAAATGTCTCTCTCTGTCACACTGCAGCTTCCTCTGAGCCTGTCTCCTTTCAGTTGAAGGTGATCCTCTGTGCAGCGACTCAGGCCGATTATATTAAACATGCATGACGACACTGTTTGGTTTCCATATTCAAACTCCAGTTAATTGTCTGACTTAATCTGGATGTTAGTGATTTAGTAACGCACTGTTTGTCGATGCACAAAAGAAGGAAACAGGAACTGGAACAGGAAAAACCATGTGGATGTGCATGTCTTCTCGTCCAAATGCATTTTAAAAACAAAAGCTTTTAAACATCCATTACCTACCCAACAAACAGCTGTCTGGTAATATTCTAGCTCCTTTTGATGCTCCTCTCCAGCAGTAGTAGGTTTCCAAAGCCTCCCCACCAACACACACAGACCACCGTCAGCTCCTTTTGCCCCAGCTATATGGCTTTTCTGCTGCTATACTGTACGTGCTGTCAAAAACGCCGGCAACTCTGCAAGCCCCGTCTCTCTTTCTAATCTCAGACCACTTTCCTCCCCCCTCCTCCGTCTCTTTTCTCTTCTACTCTAGTCCTCTCTTCCTGTGTGTGTGTCTCCTTTCTGTAGCCATGGCAACACGCCTCTAACATCCAGCGGCGGCCGACAAACGTGCTGAGCTCAAAGCGACGGCTTCATTTCCCTGTTAGAAAAAATGTCATATCAACCACTGGATGGATATAAAAAAATAACCTCATAGAAAGTATTTATTTAGTGTTCATCTACAGTAGGTATGAAATAAAAATAAATAAATAAAAATCCTTGAATTGTTTTTAAAAGTGCAATGGGTAGATCTTGAAAAAAACTAAGAGATTGACACCAAGTTTGTCTATAAAAGTGATGGAATAAGGAAGTTATGACCATTTTATTATTGAAATATTGCTCAGATTATTTCTGATGGTTTAACGTTGAAAACTCTGAAAACTTGTGACGATTCTGCAACAAAAACAAACGGCCATAACTTCTTTATTACTTAAGATAACTGGGTGAAATTTTTGGAAGAATTAGGAAATGGTGCGCTCTTAACATTGGCTGCCTATATTTATTATTAATTAATTAATAACTAAAGCTGTACAATCTAAAACAATCATGCATTGGAAATAGGCACATAAACAAAAAATAGATTAAATGAGAATCAAAGAGAAAACAATTTTTTGTTTTTCTACTTTCACAGCAACGACATGTTTGTCATGAAACTCAGCCACTATTTAGATAAAATGTTATATTTTGGTACTATCTACTTTTTTTGAGTGCTATAAGCTCAAACGTTTTTTGAATCTAGTTTAAAGAGTAACTTACCCCAAAATTAACTTTTTTTAGCTGATAAACTGCCTAGAATGTGTCTAAAATGTTATATAGTACTGTTTCTGTGCTAATTTTGATGTTTGTTTTTTTTGTGTGTATTTGTTCAAATCTGTAATATTTGGTCCAAAAACGTCTTTTTGCTGCTCATATGGGTAGAGCAGTGGTACTGCAGGCTAATTTGCATATTGGTTAACGGCTCTCCACGGTGACGTGTCTTCTCCACAGTTTCGTCACAGCGGCTGTGTTCTGGTATAAAAGCCTCTCTCTAAGACACGCCCCTGTCAGAGGGTTCCACCCTCTAAGCAGTCAGAGGGTGGAACAGTTAGCAAGCTTAGCATGATCGTCTGTTGACCTTCAGCCTCGGGTGGGGAGAGCTGACTGCTGCGCTGCTCTCTCTCCCTCTCTCTCCACACACACACAAACACACACACACACACACCAGCAGTACGTCCTGCACAGCAGGAGGGGAGGAAGGAAAAAAAGGCAGAAAGACAGCGGGGCAGCAGCAGCCCTAATGGACCGAGCTTCAGTCAAACAAGACCCAACACTTTTATTCCTGATTTAAACTAGTGATCTTGTGAGCAGCTGCAGCTGTATGCTTTTATTATTATTTTTTCTGTCAGGCTGTCGCGGAGCGCTCCACCTCCTCTGTCCGGTGCCGGTGTGGTGTGAGGCGGACAGCTCAGCCGAGGCTGCTGGAGCTTCATGTCCTGATCCAGGGAGCCAACATGAGTCAGTCCCAGACTGAGCTGACTTGACCAAGTCTCTCTCTGCCTCTGGTGAGGAGGGGGGTGAAAAATCCTCCACCTCAGACCGTTTAGAGATGTAACTATCTGTGTCGCTGTGGTCACTCTCCATGTAGCATAAATTATGCTAATGCTAGCTGTCACGTTCTCTCATCTTGGCCACACCTCCGCTCTCTAACTCCACCCCCCCTCCCCTACCCACACCCCCTCCCCTACTCACTTTGATGCATTTTTCAAATTTCGCCTTGGGGCGGAGTTATCTTTTCACAAGGGCGGGGTAAGATACACTTTAAATAGAACATCAGTTTCATCACTGATAAACTGCAAGACAAAATGACAGAATCCATTTGATCAAAAACATGGTGAAAGATTAACTTCTTTGCTACATTATACTAAAAAAAATCAGAGTGAAATACTCCTGCAGTCTGAAAACCAACATTCACTGCAAAACATACACCTGTGGAAGAATGATTTATGGTCTAAAGGGCCTCTCATACATGTTGGCTGAGAGGTGGGGTTTGTCATGTACCTATCTGCCAACAATTTTTTGAAGTTAGCTCAATTAAGGTGGTCACCACAGTTCATTGACCTTAGCAAATTCAAAAGTATATCTTCAAAACCTTTTTCTATAAATTGATTGGACATAAATTGGAAAGGCACACACACACATTCTGCAGGCCTCTCAGTTGACAATGTATTTTGGAGCATAAGTCAAGCAATGATGTCAAAGAGATTGCCTGCAGAGCTCAAGGACATGAATGCTGCAAGTTGCAAACCTCAGGGAAGCTTTAAAAAAAACTTTGCTGCACTGACGTTTCCCCCAAGCCTTCATAATTCTCTAAAAAAAAGAAGTTTGGCACAATCAGGACTCTTCCTACTTTGTATATTGTGTGGATTCTCATTTTCTTGTTTAAAGTAATAAATTTGTACAGCTCAATCTCATGTGGATTTTCATGTCTGTTTAAATTTGCCTCATATGGTTAAATGTTTTCTCACAGACATCACTGACAAATAATTTATTTCCTGTGTGGATTATTGTTTCTAGAGTTGACTTCTGTCTACATCTTTGTTCACAAACATCACAAGCGAATGGTTTCTCCCCTGTGTGGATTTTTAAGTGTCTGTTTAAACTTGCCTTAGTTGTTATCTTTTCTCACAAATGTCACAGACAAATGGTTTCTGTCCTGTGAGGATTCTCCATTGCGTGTTTGGATTTGTTTTTCTGATAAATCTTTGGCCACAGTCGTCACATCTAAGTGGTTTCAGTGTTCATGCGTTACTGTACTTTTTAATTCTTCAACTTTAACACATTTGTTATGAACCAGAGCTTGAAGACTTTATTTTAAATTACTTGTCATGTGTCTCTGAAGAGACCAACTGTTGTGAAACAGCTTACCAAACTCAGAGCAGCTAACGATTTGTTGACGGCATTTGCACCTGACTTGGGGAACCCTGCTGTCCTTCCAGTCTTTGTCATGGTCGTCAGTTTTTAACCCAGAATCTGATTTATATTTTAATTGAAAATCCGAAATATTCCCTTCATCAAACGTTACAGCATCATCATCTGTCCAGGTGGAATTGATTGGTGGAGAGGACTGCAGAAGAATAGAAGACCTAAATCTAAACACCTGTGAAGACAAGTCTAACTCTTCAGAGACTGATGATGATGATGATGATGATGATGATGATGATGATGATGATGATGATGATGATGATGATGATGATGATGATGATAAGCCTCTGTTCTCAGCTTCATCAACAACAATATGTCAATATTTGTAAATTTGACTTCAGTTAAAGCCATTTTGCACATTCTAAGGTTGGTTAAGCATTTTACAGTTAATGATTATTTTCTGTAAGCTTGACTGAAACCTGTCCATGGATTCATGAAATATTTTTCTAACAGACAGACAAAAGATTGTGTGTGTCTGTGTACTTGTATTTGTTACCTTTTAGGACCGTTTCTGGTAAAAACACCTACCTTGTCAAGACCAGTAGTCTGGGGTGTCACTAGGTTTTAAGGACAAGGGGGGCTTAGCCCCAGGAGAAGTACAGAATTTTTTTATATTATATATTTGTACTGTGTGTGTGTGTGTGTGTGTG